CTATTTTGAACTTTATTCTTGTTCAAACAGATGCAGTATAAAGCAGTACATAAAGTATTGAATGAAAATGTGTCTGAAACATCTGTGCATTTGGCAAATATTGAATTTATTTCACTTCAGCTGTGGTAAAGTATACAAACACCACGTGAGCGGTTAGCTACTACGGGAACCAGAAAGTGTCCGACTTCACGTCTCCGTTTGCAGCTCCTCCCCGCCTGCACGCGGCTACTCTCGCCGATCGCTTACATCCAGCCGCAGCCGATGTCGAACACACCTAATGATATTCTCCTCCAGGAAGTGACATCATTTTGAGGTAAAAGCAACAACAATGGGGTAAAAAACAAAACAAAAAAAACAGTAAGTCTAAAACAGTAAGGGACTTTTATGGGACTAAAAACAGTAAATCTAAGCAATATGGTTTTATTATGTCTGTGAAGTTTTGTGGTGGTTTGTGTCACTCTAAAACTTTATCCTGTTTGATAAAAATACAGGTAGGTCCTATAATATCCACATTTTAAAAGCTGGCCAAAAAATATAAAAATGTACTTGATCCTGTAAGCTGTCTCTCAGTCTCTCATTGACCAACACTAATTTCGTGTCACTGTATAATTAATCAAGGTACAATTAATAAAGTTTAAGTTATATAAGTTATATTAAGTTATATAAAGTTTAAGTTCACACACACACACCGTGTCTGTCCTAAACCCTACGTCATGAGGACAAAATGTCCCCACAAAGATGGCAAAATCTAAAATCCTTGTCCTTTTTTTGGTCCCCATGAGGAAAACAGCTAATAAATCATACTAAGTGATGTTTTTTTTTTATGTAAAAATGCACAACTTTTTTTTTTTTTATGGGAAGTTTTGGGGGTAGGGTTAGTGTTAGTGTTAGGGGATAGAATATACAGTTTGTACAGTAATTTCATGTCCTCTTTTATGTCCAATTTTATTCCCTCTTTGTATAAAGAAAATAAAACCTATATAACGTCACCTTCCTAAAATAATTTGAAAATGAAAATGACTTGGGTAATTATTTTAGGAAGGTGACAACATGCAAAGGATTTCAGCTAAATCATTATAGAACTTCATATATTCTCAACAGTCTAATACAAATCAATTGGACTTGTTTATTTGTCTATTTTCGGTACTCAGCGAAAAGGTTTTATTCTTTTCTTATTACTTTCAAATTATCATTCTTTTGCTTAAACAGCTGCCTAATTGATGTTTTCATAGAGCTGCTTGGTGAATTTGAAAGATCAAAGATCCACAAAATTATGACAGCAACACATTACAGAAATTAGGCTGAACTTACAGTACAATATTTCAATGTGCCTTTTCCTGGCGGTTTTAAATAGGAAATGCCTACTTGCTTCTGATTCTTAATCTGATAGATGCAGGCTTAAATAGATTAATTATTTTTCTCTTTTTTTACCAAAAGAGTCTAAACAGTATTTATAGTTATTATCACATAATACATTTGTGTAATTCACAAATGTAGTTCATTCAACCAAATTGAGAAGCGAGTCTAACATGTTAGTGTGTGCTCCATGCAGAGAAAGATCAAACGAGTCAGGTTGACAGAGTTTGGCATACAAATCTCCTTTTCAAAAGCCTAAGATTGACTCTCATTCTGTTTACAGCTTTTGCCCTAAATTGCACTCAGAGTACATGCTGAATTTCTGATGACTGCAAAAGACTCTTTGATACTTCTGCTAAGCCAACATCTTGATTTGTTTTTTGCTATTCTACTTATGTCATTTTTACAGTGTAAAAATAAACTAACTTATTTTTCTACAGTCTTTTCTTGCATATCTAGATTACGTTTAAACCCATTTGTCCCATCATACTTAAAATTTAACACAAGTACAGAACAAACTATGATGTCTAGATGTCTCAGTGGTGCTCTGCACATTTCTTCAAACAGTTTGTACTTGTTTATCTACATTTCCCATTTTGAGAAATCCTAAACGCCCACGTGCATGGAAAAAGCCAAAGGTAATTTACACATATCACTCTCTATCTTTTTTTCTGTCTGTGTGCTATTTTCACATGCAATATAAACACATATAGTCACATGGATTAAGTTCTATTCAGTGCCATCAAGCATTAAATATGATCTTAAATAGCTATTTCAGTAAACCACTCGTAATCCCACTCACAATGTGGACTTTCTGACACACCACACCCTCTAAAACTAAACTACAACTTCACACTTGACTTTACTTTTTAAAAATATCACAGAATATGAATGCAATTGCTGATCAATATACAATCCTTTTGAGAAAACCTGTTCTTGTGCATCATGACAACATGTATTGCGAGCTTGACAGTATAACACTGTAACTATGTTATGAATGTGGGGTTAGAATAGAATTCATTTGCATTATACATGGCTAATGTTTTTTTTTACTTGGAAATGAAAAACAATAAGAATTCACAAGCTCAGATTCTCATATCATTCCTATCTGTGGTAAAAAAAAAAGCAAGCACGTGAATTTCACCTTATTAGTCCATGTACAGTAGATGCTCACTTCAGATGCTTTGCATTTTCTAAAGTCTGGCATCTAATTGTCTGAATATTCTGAGTTATAAATGACATGCAACATGAATTACTTGCATTCATATGCGGATGTCCATGTGCCAACATCAACAGATGCTCCCTGGCTGTTATGATCCTTAAATTCTCTAATGAGCAACAGAAAATACTTGCCTTTGATGCACATTCACTGCATAACTGGAATCAGTGGATCTTGATTTAACATTTGGCAATGAGGCATATTGGCAAAACAAAATGTGTTTACAAATATGTCACTATACACTATGGGACTCCATGACAAGTACATCAGCAATGAGATGTATGAAATATCAGTTTTATGCATATTCGTAAATACTCCTCAATATCATAATCAGTATTTTATTTATTTATCCATTTTTGACCAGGAAGGTCCCATTGAAATAAACAAAAGGAAAAAAAAAATCTTCTTCCATTGGGTTCTGGCCAAGATGGCCGTACCAAAGTTTCACATATAATAATACACAACACACAAAACACATTATTAAAAAAAAACATAAACAATAAATAATACGGTGAATTTTTGGGGTGAACTATCCATGTCAAAGTATATTTTACAAAGAAATATTCACTGAATATGCTGCAAATGTGAGTCAGAAAACCAGGAAAGTCTAACTTAAAAAAAGTAACATCATGGGTCCATCACATTGTTCCAGTTTCAGTGGTTTGTCCGGCCCCAGAATAATCTCGAAACCTGTCTAACGTGTCTTTGTTTTTCTAATACATGTGTTTGGTTTTCAAATGTTTCTGTGAAACAGGACAATACAGGTTCACATATGAATAATGGGAACGGCCTTTATTTCGACATCACAATTGATTTGTAATGCTAGCACATACTGTATGTTTTACTTGTTGTAACATTGATTTCCTTTCATAATAAAATGAAACAGAAATTCAGGCACCTTTTCACTAATCAGCGACATTTTGATGAATGGGAACTATATGTAGAACCATTCTGCTACAATAATTCAGCCAGGCAGGCAAACATGCTGGTTGGCTTCTTGCAACTGTAAATTTTGATTTTGACATTTTTACAGCATACCAGTTTTTATGAATAATTTTCAACTCGATTTCCCTTAAGTGACATCAAATATGTCCAAAAATGCCCTTTTGAAGACTACCAAGGCATTCCTTGTGATCGTTTATGATTGTGTGCTATTTTAATCAAAACATTCCTGATATTTTTCCCTGGCAGCAACTTTGCCTACTTCAACACTTCTCCTAGCATGTTGGCATAGAACACGCAATCCACACAGGCAGCTGCAGTGCAGTCAAGCAGTTTTGCATACCAGCACATATGGCCCAAAGCAGAGAGAGACAGAGAGAGTGGAGAGAGGGGCATAAATGTGAATTAACCCATTCCCTGAAAATCCATACTGTATTCACAGGGATTAAGGATTTTATCAGTCAAATACCAAATAACAGTTTTTTAGTTGTGTGGCTTATCTGGTCTGATTATCTTCAGGTGTTGTTGGGGAAACAGTGTCATATTAATATTAATATTAAGATGATAAGGCCATTATTTGAACATTTTGGTAAATAATTTCAGACTTTGAGTTTCACTTTATTTATATAGCCTACTATAAAACTGAAAATATAAAATATAAAAAATAAGGTGTTTATAAGGTGCACAGGGAAAGAATTCCCTCTGCAGATCATTAAATTTGTCTGGATTTTGGTTAAAAAAAGTTATATTTCTTCTTACATTTTTGTTATCAGCTGTGTGCATTGGAGTGTTTATGTAGCATTTTGTGTTTTTGGTTAATGACTCGCATTATTTAAGCGTCACGTGTGTTATGATGGAGTTTTTTTGTTCGTTCGTTTGTTTGTGTGTTGTGTGTGTGAGAGAGAGAGAGAGAGAGAGAGAGAGAGAGAGAGAGAGAGAGAGAGAGAGAGAGAGAGAGAGAGAGAGAGAGAGAGAGAGAGAGAGAGAGAGAGAGAGAGAGAGAGAAACTGCTATGTCTTGATTGGTCACAGTTACTGGCCAATTTTGATTAACTTTAAAGATCTACCTGTGTGATTATGTTTTTTTTTAAAACATTTAAATAGCTCAAATAGGTTGGTATATTAACGCTATCATTTAATGGCATACATTTAGTCACTAAAGTGTCTGTATTTGTATGGTAAAGTTCTGGCAACTACAGCAACCAGTTGTATAAATATAATAATAAAAATAACAACAAAGACAACAACAATAATAATTAATAATATTGTTTTTTTTTTACAGTGCATTACCATGTTTGTTTTTCTTTACTAGACTATAACAGATCCTGAAAACCTGTTTGGATGAATTACTAAATGTATGATGACAAAGCCCCGCCCCGTTTTGGGGCATTGAAACGAGGCAGTTGCGTAATTTGTCTTGTCAAACGCGTAAAGCGCTTGACATCTCTGGCTGTCTGTCGTGTCGTTTGCGGCATATTATGACGTGATCTCCAGTTTATTTCAGCGGAGGACATGCGTTATGGGCAACGCTTTGTTGAGCAGGATCCACGGCTAGAATAAAACACCTCTAAGAACTGAGCGCGGAATTGAGAAAGGACGATTACAGTGGATTTAATGACAGTCCATCAAAGCATCACATTCTGGTAGAGTGAATCTGCAATCGCATGTTACATTGGTAAACAGTGCTGGGTGCCATGCTTTCCGAAATGCAAGTGTTATTTATGCTTTTGATCTAAAGCGTAACATGATCGCTGCACAGCTTACATTTTATAGTAATGTTTTCTCATGGTGTTCTCCAGTATATATTAAGCATGCTGGATGAATTGTGCTGAACTCTGCTCTGACCTTAATCTGAAAACTCCATAACAGCAGAGCAGCTGTAGGCTCTAAATTCAGATGGAGTATTTCCTAGTTTATGGATGGCAGATAGAGAGAGAGAGAGAGAGAGAGAGAGAGAGAGAGAGAGAGAGAGAGAGAGAGAGAGAGAGAGAGAGAGAGAGAGAGAGAGAGAGAGAGCTTGCATGGGGGTTCCTTCTTCGGTGTAAGGTAGCAACAAGCCTAGAGTATTTAGACATGCACACAAGCTGACTTGTTGACATAAAAATGACAGGAATATTACTAAGTTTGTGTTGATCTTTCAGTTTGAGAGTGTGGATCTACTGTACAGGTAAACATAATAGAAAAAAAGAACGGTCAGGTTGAAGATTCATTCCTCTGAACTTATCTTGTAATTCTCAGGAATTTCTGCCTTGTTTACTTCAAAGCTTAAAGGATTATGCGAAAGTGGATTAAAATATATAATAAGTGGAGAAAGCTGTCAATTAGGTTTCCCATGTCAATGGCAGTTGCTTGGCTGGAAATATACTGTGTTTTGAGCCAATCAGCTGAGTCGTAAATACCATGTGACTAATGTCTGTAGTGTGTCATGACAATGTTGATGGGAACATAAGAACTCACACAGTCCCAAAACCTTCACTGAGTGACTGAACTGAACTGTGATGTGAAAGACGACAGATGTTTTGTGCTTTTAAAAGTCCTCAAAAAAAAAAGATTCGGACATTGGTAAAAACTATAATCTGATATATTTACAATTTTGGTCGAATACAACTAAGTTACAGTTACAGTATCCACCAGCTATGGACATGCTAAACTGATAAATCTTTATTAATACAATTTCAAGGATTATTGTTGGAAATGGCTGAACAAACTTGTTTCTTTTCATGTATTTTATGTGCAATTTGTGGTGAATGAAAACCTATTTTTTTCTGACCCTCAGATCAGACATGGATGGATACCTGCCGCCTCAGTTTCACGTTTTGTCAGACCATAAGAAGTTTTGTCAAGACAATTCCCTGACGATGGACCAAGGCGCGCCATACAGCATAAACATGAATGTTTTTTTACCTGACGTCACCTACCTACGGACCGGCATGTGTAGACCCGTTCGGTCCGCAGCGACACAGATAAAGACGGAACCGCTGCATACGTCTTTCAACTACTCCAGTTGCCACGGCTCCGTTGCGCCTGCCATGACGCACACAGAGTACATGAACCTCTACAGCCCAGCTGCGGAAACGGGTAACAATGTTTACGTCAAGCACGAGACCCCATCCCTCGAATTCCCAGAAGTCCCTCTGTTTCAGCTGTTGAATTCGGAGCTTGAGCCCAACGTGCCTGGAGGCCACTCTTGCACAGATTCCCACAATGCCGCATGCTCTCCGATGTCAACGTACAATGGCATTAACCCACCGCCCAGTCATGTTGCAGAAAGATCTCTTTGTAACATGGGCAGCAGTGGATATTCTCTACCTGCCCAGTTTGGTCAGCATCCTCAGAAGAGGGCGGCCTATCTACCACCATCCCCTCCCAACTCAGAACCGGGCAGCCCAGACAGGAGGAAAGAACTGGTACAGAACTTATCGCCACCTCCGTCATACGCTGCCAGCATTGCATCTAAAATGTCGTGTCTTACTCCCGGACCAGCACTTTCTGTCCAAACACAAGCAGTACCTGCCCAATACAACCGCAGGAACAATCCCGATCTAGACAAAAGGAGGATACATCACTGCGATGTACCAGGTAAGACTGAATTTAGCATCTAGACACTTTAGTATGTGAACATAGTATACACTTTATTTGACATGATATTCAAGGTCTTAGAAGGAAGCCACGGCTTTTTCCAAATAAATGACACAGCGCAGGCTTAAATGGCTATTCAGGTGATTTAACGTTGTTGAATAGATGTTGTGGACTGACGTGACTAATCATCTGGCAATTACCGGTCTAGAAGTTGGACTAAGAGGCTTAGGACACAATGGCATAACCTTTTGACATTGTATATGAAGCTGCTGGACAAGTCAGAGCTGGCCAGAATGTTAAAGCAATAGTTGACCCATTGTTTACTCACCCTCTCATCCAGACCTGAATGATTTTATTTTTCCTGTGGAACACAAAGGAAGATATTTTGAAGAAATTCTTTTCAAAACGACTTTTTGTTATGGAGAAAAATCACTTGAGACATTTTTCAAAATATCTTCTTTTATGTTTCACAGAAGAAAGAAAGTCATACTGGTTTTGGATAAACTATCCCTTTAATGTTCATATAATGGATATAAGGTTTAATGGTAAAGGTTATGATGATGTATACTAACATTTATTGTATTATTTTCCAGGATGTAAGAAGGTATACACCAAGTCATCACATTTGAAGGCCCATTTACGTACTCATACAGGTAAGTAAGACTTTTAATAAGCAGCAATATCACACAGACAACAGAGCTGTTCACACAATTTTCAGTGTGATATTGCAGTCATACAATAGTTCAATAAAGTTGACTAAACAGAATTACACATTTAGTGATTTGATTCTGATTCACAAGCTCTCTATTTTGAGTCATTCAGGCATGTTATAATGTCCCTGGTATGGTATGGCATGGTATAACTTGATACATGGCAAAAACATTAGTTAAAAACAACATTAGTTAAAATCAACCCTCCCAAATTATGCAGTTCAATTGCTATTTATTTTACAGATATACTAATCAAAATACGACAAAAAAAAAAAAAACCTTTACCAATTTATTCTGTAAAACATTGTAATATTTTATCAAATTATAATTATTATTCATGTTTTTTTTTCTCCATGTAAACATTTCCAATTTCCAATTTGACGATGATGTGGTGTAATGGGTGTAATTTGTTTGTGAATCAGATAATAATAGTCGCGCTGCATGTTATTGTGTACAGCCCATTAGGACTGACTCAATGGAAAGCCAATGTTTTATCCTACCGAATTGTGATGGTGCTCTCCCCTCAAACTGAATTGGCCTGTGTTTTTTTGCAGGCGAAAAGCCATACAAGTGCTCATGGGAGGGTTGCGACTGGCGCTTCGCCCGCTCTGACGAGCTAACGCGCCACTTCAGGAAGCACACGGGGGCCAAACCTTTCCAGTGCGCCGTATGTAGCCGTTGCTTCTCCCGATCGGACCACCTGGCCCTCCACATGAAAAGGCACCAGAACTAGAGCTGCCCGCTCTCGTTGTTCTGACGGCGCCGCGGGAGGGCTATCAGGACCTCTGCTGATGATACTAATTAGGATTTGGGTGTGTTGGTTAATCTTGGGTTTTGGCAGTTCGTCAGGTACAACAGGACCAAACCCTGCCGTCGGTACGGCTCCTGTGGTCACAAAACCAGCTAATTGATGAGAACTTGGCTCATTTGCCAGTTGGGACATTCTTTTGACATGTTTTTTTGTTTCTTCGTTTGTCTGCATACTTTGAGGTCATTATTTATGACATAACTACTTTTAATGTGCCTTTTTTACCTTATAGAATTGAGGTGCCACGTAAAATATACAATGTGCAAGATCTTGTGGGCAGTTTTACTCCACTATAGTAGAATATTCTGGGTTTAGTAAGAAGTTAAGCTTAATTTACATCATTTGTGGTGTAATGTTGATTAACACAAAAATAGTTCCCTACAACGTCCCTAGTATTCTTTTTAAAAAACTATATAGTAAATCAAGTTTACAGTGGAAGTGAATGGGGCCAATTTGACATGTGGAGCTTATAATTTTATATAAGCACTTGCATTAATTCTTCTGTTAAAACTTGTGAATTATTTGAGCTGTAAAATTGTTCTCATATTTTTATGGTCGTTTTAGAGTTAAAGATGTTGCTTTGACATGGTAACAAAGTTTTCACACTAAAATCATGTTAAAACATTCGTTACGTCTCGTGGCTATACAATTGAAGCATCGAGAATTTAAACGTTTACAAATTGGCCCCATTGAAATTGAGTTTTGTGGTACCACAGGTTCTGTTAGCTGAGCTTAACTTGTATTGAAACCATAATATTCCTGTAAGCGACTACTCGTACTTGTATCACAAGGTAAATAATATCAAGACAGAGCTGTAGTCTTGGTTGTAGAACCAAACCCGCAGAACAGTCATGAGTATGTGAGACACGAACGCTGAGTCACAATGAATTAAGGTCTCTTAAAAGCAGCACTTGATAAGAAACAGTGCTTCAGAAATGTGTGTGGGTGTCGTCGGGTAATTATAAAATGAAATGTAGCTTCAGAACACCAAAGAGTTGGATTCAGTCCAAACTACGATATGTGTCGAAGAGGATTCGCTTTACGTCGGCAAAATGTTTGAAAGAGCACAATCTGAAGCTTGATTGAACTCCTTTATGTGTTTTATTGAAATGCAATAAGTGGTACAAATACTGTATTTTTCCTGGCAAGAGGACAGGTTGGATATCGATTACTTCCATAGTTGTTTATTTTTCCTTACTATGCATTTGTTTGGGATAAATGATAGCTTTAAATGTACATAAGACGTGTATTTATTTTAGTTTTTCATTTATATTTTATAAAATGTAACTCAACGGTCACATGAAATGTGCACCGGGTTACTGGGAAGTGGTTTTAAAAATCTTTGTTTAAACTAATAGTGCTCTAAATGGCTGCATTATGCAGAACAATGTGGCAGATGATTGTTTACATTAGTTAGTTTGGCTTTTGGTGTGTTACATCTGTATGTGTGGCCTCATAAAACCTCTTCTTTTCCATTACAGTGATAAAAATGTTTTCCACCTTATTTTTCAGAGATTACAAGTGCATAACAGAAGGGACTCATTACAATTGACAAGCTGATGTTGTTATTGAGATGGAAGTAAAATAGACAGTTTTTATTTATTTATCCAAAGTTATGTAATACGAGGATCCACAGTGTTAAAGAGAGAGGAAGAACATATTTGTAACTAGAAGTTCTTCATTTTGTGACCAAAACCCAAAGAGAAAAACTCTTAATTACAGTAATTAAAGGTTCAGACTGCTTAAGATTAAACACACCCTCTAATCGCTCTAATTTTCAGTACTTAGATAAGTACAGTAATGTAAAATATGTACATCATTATTGTTATTATAGAGGCAGATCTTTAAAGTCTCAGTATGTTGGGTTAAACTGGAGTGTCCTGTCGTCCTGGCTCACATGTGATAAGGTGAATAAAGAGGTGTGGTTACAGTTGCTAATGCGGTCTGTCAGATTTTAAGTCGCTGAATTAAAAGTTGATAGTGTTGAGTGGTAACACCCAATTAAATTGATACTATAATTATCTTGACTGTATAAAAAACACTGAGTAACAGCAGAAAGGCCTCAGTCATGGAAATAACCTGACGTTTTCACAATGCATTCTTTTCATCGTTAGGGTGTATATTATTGAATCAGTTCTTACATAAGCAGCAGATTCTGAACATGAGTAATTTACACATTTTTCCCTACTTTAGTAATAGATACTGATGCTATCATCCAGAAATGAATAACAGTCAGGCCTACACCGGAACAGATACACCAAAAAATGTCAACTGAATGGACTACATGTTGGTGTAGGGCTATTGTAACTTCAGAAGTATGTGTGCTAACAAGTCCTAAGACGGAAGCATGTATAATTATTTAGTATGTATCAAATAAAAATACAATTTCCAAATAGAGTGCAAGACAATCACCACTCTTGAGGTAGGTATTGTCCATTTTATAGTAAGAGTTTTATCTTGTGTGGCCTCTTTAAACATTTTAGCAGAGGTTATCATGCTAGCTGCATGCTAAGTCAGCACTTTCACGTGTCACTTCAATGTAAAACCTCACTGGTCAAACAGTGGTGGTATTTGAGTATTAGTGATTGCTGGCTAATAACTTTAAAAATCTTTATGTTATATAATATACTTGTTAAACGACTGGAATCAGCCCAACTGCTTTGTCTCTGAGGAAGATTGTTATCATGAAGTCAATGCCTTCATGTTTCTTTGAAAAGACTTGTGTCAATAGGGAACTCATTTATTTTCTTTCATGGAAAGGAACAATAGTTTAATTCACTATTTGACCTGACATTTAGATGATCTTTGCAGATGAGAGTATGGATCAAACAGTAGCTCAGCTGTGATCCTCTTTAGTGAATGCCATTTACTGAAAGCACTTATAGGATCACTGTGATGTTGCTCATACCCAGGGAAAACCATTGAATTTTTCCCACAAAATCATATTGGTTTGAAAGCAATATCAATTGAAAATCATCATCTGACTTCTGTTTTTATAGTCTTATAAAGGCCCATGGTCTCAGATAAAGTTTGGGGTCGGTGAGAAGTTGTTTTTTTTAGTCTCTCATAAGTCTCTTATGCTCACCAGCAGTGTTGGGGTAACGCATGTTACAAAATCAGATTACTTTTTTCAAGTAACTAGAAAAGTAATACATTACTTTTACATTTACAACAAAATATCTGATTTACTTTTTCAAATAAGTAATGCAAGATACTTTGTGTTGCCATTTATTGACAAACCTCTTCTGTCCCCATGTTGAGAGAAATCAGGAGAAAGTGCAGAGGCGTTATGTGTGTTGTGTATAATATGAGGGTTATTGTAGTTCTAGACTAAATGTGAGCAGGCATTTACTCATCTCACTGGCACTAAAACATTTCAATATTCCTCAAAATGAATTAAACAAACGGTGAAATGCAAACTCAATATTATGCAAATATATTAAATAACAAATATATACTTTATGTAATCTCACTTTATTAACCAATGTCTTTGCTGCTGACCTTCGATGATCCAATTCAACTATTCAAATAAGCAAAAATGACTTTTATATAAACATATTTGTTTAATTTTTTTTCTGAAGATAGTTTTTTTGTTATTAAAAAACAAACAAGCAAGCCCTGCCCAGGTGAGAAAGTAATGCAAAAGTAATGCAATGCATTACTTTCTGTAAAAAGTAACGAAGTAATAATTAGTTACCTTTTTAGAGAGTAACAGTTATTTAATGCATTCCTTTTAAAAGTAACTTTCCCCAACACTGCTCACCAAGACTGCATTTATTTGATCAAAAATACAGTAATATTGTGAAATATTACATTTCTATTTTAAAATGTAATTATTCCTGTGATGGTGAAGCTGAATATTCAGCATCATTACTCCAGTCTTCAGTGTCACATTATCCTTCAGAAATCATTCTAATATGCTGATTTGGTGCTCAAGAAACATTTATCAATGTTGAAAACAGTTGTACAGCTTGAAATTTTGGTGGAAACCATGATAAAAAAAAATCAGGATTCTATAATATAAAGACCAAAAGAACATAATTTATTTCAAATAGAATGTGCCTTATGTTCCATTTATAATGTTCCTTAAATGGAACATTATAAATTGCTTCACTGTCACTTTTGATCAATTTAAAGGCACACTATGCAGGAATTCCGTTTTTGTCAAACAGCGACCTCTAGAGTCGCTGTGGAGTACTTGTATTTAACGTTACTGTCGTAAATACCACTCACGCAGAGCGTCTCTGCACTCACGGCCTGATACCCCTTCGAAGCTGTGTTATTGTAAGACTGGAAAACTGGTTGAAGAGATAGACCTGACCACAGGTCTATGAGACAAAGAACCTTGGCAAATTAACATTTGAACTCTCACACACACACTTCTTCCCACAGTAAATTTCCACTGTGAACACAGGTTTACATATGAAATGAGGTCTGGGTATATAAGGAAATGCAGCTAGAAGATCGGGGCCTTTTCTGTATCTCAGATCAGCCCGTGGATGCTGAGTCGCCGAGACTCAGCATTCATGTATTTCATAATGTCGGGTAAAAGATTTTCCTCTTTGTTCTAGAACATTTGATGGTTTGCATTGATTATCTTTCAATTGATTATGAAATTGTAATAATACATTTACCTGACATAATAAATGGTTATATTTGATTATTCTAATAGACTTTGACTTTATTTTCATTGGAGTTAAAAGGAATAGTCAAACATTAACGTATATTTAATGATGTACAGATATCATTGAAAAACTTTTTCATTTTATGGAGTCAAATGAAACGAGTTAATACATATGATAAAATGTATTGCATTTAATAAAAAATCCCTTTGCCATGGGAAGAGACGAAACACGCGTGAGACCTTCACCGCTAATTTGAATGCCGCCATTGGATCAAATTAGACGGCCTTACATATTAAGCTACAAATCTTGCATAGTGTGCCTTTAAATAAGAGATGTGTTTTTGAACTCAACCTGAGCGCTCGTGTCCGCTGCTATCAGTGTCATGGAGACATAGTGTCTCTTGTGGCGACGCGCGCGCAGTCTTAACTCGGACGCGCTCTTCAATCTATTGCCGTTGCGGTTCCTAGTCTCTTCCGACCACGTTTTCTTTGCTTTTTCCATCGTAGAGTATCACGTCTGAAATGCGCGCAAGTGTCTTCATGCTTCATATGTTGTTGTTGATGTGTGTGACGTCATTGCCGTAAAGCATGTCGTGATTCTCGCGAGATTTGTCGGGGGCGC